GGTCTCGAAGTAGGCGCTCTCCGGCAGGCGCATGTGATTCAGGCGCGTGCGGTCGCGAATGAGAGACAGGCGCCTGCCCATACACATCAGTTCAGCGGCGCCAAAAGGGCAGAAACAGGTCAGTAATAGGACAGAACTTATGGTTTGAGTAATTGTGACCAGGAGCAACGAATCCAATCCCCAAAACACTGACCTGTCCATCTGCTTCACACGCCGCTTCTTCATCTTGCGCACGACAGCCACAATGTGGCTCATGATGCCTAGGTCCGCCTGGTGCATGATGTCAGGCATCACCACGAGGTAGGGATTGCCCCACGCGGTCCCTGGGACATCCCACTTCCAGAGCATGCACTGGAAATGGGGATGTGGTGGGGAATGGAGGAGAGATGTACGTGAGAGTGGATAGGTAATCTAAACCACAAGTCGGGTGAGTTCAATGGGGCAGAGCACATCTGGCAATTCATGACGGGGCGGGCGAGAGCATAGACTACTCATGGGCCGGGGAAACAGGTCACTCACCTCAACAGGGTAGGTAGAGTAGGCCTTGCACGGGTTGTCCTGGCTAGTTGTCGTCCCCGCCGCCTCGTTAACGATCCATTGCTGCTGTTCAGGCGTGCGCGGCGTGTTCCGTGCCTTGACAGCACTCAGATGCTCCTGTTGTAGCACGGGGCCGAGGGATGGGATAGAAAAGGTAAGGGTGGTAGCTATGTGGGTTCGCTCAGGCGAGCCACAAACGGGAATGTAATTGAATGCGTGCAGATGGCATGTGACCTCACCTTTGCAGCATAGCAGATGCTGCACGGCATCCGCGATCCATGCGAGAGTGTGCAACTGATTTTGCCGCTCTCGGGGTAGTCGCACACCCAGGCGTACAGCAGGGGCCGCACGGTTTGCCAATCTCCGAAAGGGTCCCTGAGACGGAACCCGCTGCAAGGAATGGAGTGAGTGGCAACAGGCATTCAAGGTTGCGGCTTTTAGGGAGGAACGACGAGGGGCAAAGGGCCATGCTACATACAGAGAGGGTTTGCATACCATGCAGGTGGTGAGATGATGTCTTAGCAAGATGCAAACCGAGTACGGACCTGGCGATGCCATCAAGAAGCGGCTGCAGCACGGTGATGACGCAACGCTGGAAGAGCATCACCTTCTCCACGGCAGACATTGCAGATGGGGGGATTGGAAGGAGGGCAAGTAGTGTGTGACCGGCTTTCCCCCATCGCTTGGCCTGGGCGATGTTCGCCAGCGTCATCATGAGCGGCCACGCCTTTTTCAGGCCGTTGTTGCTCATGTGCGTCACATCCGAATATAAGATGATCCCCCCCACAACTTCGGACCAACCGAAGTGTTCCTGCAGTGCACGACAAAGCGGCAACGGACACACGGTTTAACACTCAAGATGCTCTTGAGAGATCAGTGCTGCGATGGATGCATGACTCAGGATTGGGTTTGGGGTGGCAACGTGGTCTTTCCTTACCTGAGCATCATTCCACCACGTTCCTGTTTCGGGCGTGGTATAGCGACGGCCGCCTGCGTCAGGGTCCTCATCTACACGCGCCTTGAGCTTGAAGCCGGGCGCGTTGTTGGGATGTCCAAACATTTCAGCGAATGCCTGGTGTACGGTGGCGAAAGCAGGTGAGAGGAGAGGCATGGTTCGTGGCGGAGAAGGTGGGTGTACGGTTAATACAAGGATAACTAAGTACATGCAAACCCTGTGTGCCTCATCATCATTTCACGGCCTTGAATGCAAAGTCGGCTTACCTGGGCTGAGTTCTGGAAGAGCAAGCGCTGTGGTGGATGACCGTCAATCTCGAAGGTCGCCACCGACCATCCGCGATTGAGCCCTGCCAAGCGCTCCAACTCGAACCGCTCCAGATCCTTACAGTTCCGGAGCTCCGAGTTCACAAGAGGCGCAAGGCCGGGCTCTACGACTAGCTGAAGCAGGCCGTTGATGTCAACCTCGGCCATTCCCATTCCGCCATTCACGCGCCGGACGAAATGCAGTAGCTTCAACGCGAGCGGATTGAGGGGCATGGCATTGCTCTGTCCGGAGATGACGGTTGGCGGCGCGGCATGACTCCCTTCGGGCCGGCTCTCAGGATGGTCAGTCGTCTCAGCCGCAGGAGCTCCATGCCGTGGTTGATGTTCATCTTCAGGAGGCCCCTCGTTCACGTCGTTGGGAGTTTCGTCAACGTGAGCATCAGGAACGCGTGGAGGTCGGCTCACACTGACGGCGTTGGATGCGTTAGACGCTGTAGGTGAACCGGAAGCGGCTGGAGCGTCCGACAGAATGTCGTGGACGAATAGCAAAGCATGAAGACCGGCGGTCGGTGCAGATCGCGTGGGCCTCGCCACGGCGGATAGTCCTTGGCAAGGGGTCCGCCGTGACTTATGACCGCCATAAACTTGGGCGTTGGGGAACCATCTGTTGCAGAACTCGCAAACGACGCCTGGTAAAGAGCCCATTCAGTTACGGATCCGTTGTAGAGTCGAGACCTGGCCTATGAAGCTACTACCCGTGATGAAGCTTGTGAACGCATTAACTACCCCGTTCAAGAAGTCTGTGACAGCTACACGATCATCGCCAATGCGCGCACTGTGGTGGGCGGCTTGTATCACTGCACGACTGGCACTTGACGCACGCGCTAATGTATATGACTGGCTAACGTTGTCGAGCCGCGTGGTCGTTACCAGGCACGATACAGACCGCCCATAGCACGGGCCGTCTTCCCTACAAGGCGTGTCGCCCCCGTTTACAGCGACCACGACGTGGCCAGGGGAGATGCACTGGATCTTAAGTCTCATGGTCGTGTGTGTGATTCGCAAGCAAGGCGAGAAGGACGTGCCTATTGAGTCTAGAACAAGTGTTTATGAACTGTGCGTGAGAGTCGAGGAGGATGAGGAAGAGCGGGAAGAGATCCGTTTGGATCTCTGATTGTGTCGCGAATCGATATAGCCTCAAAATCGGAATTACGTAGGTGAGCTACAGAGGCGTCAAACAAACCTGGAAATGCATATGTACAGTTACAACTTAACCAGAAACTCGTATCATTCATAAATAGTAAACATTCATATCCTTGGGACTGTTCTTGAACAATCCTTACTCGATAACGATACGGGAACTACCCGGTAACTCCATGCCGTAACGTATGATTGGTGCTTGGAGCAAATACATATATCGTGCCGCACCGTGAAGAACGAATATCCAAGAATGGATGGCTGTCGATAACGCATCTACGCTTGTGCGTTGGGCCTGTGCTTCATACCACTCCTTCTAAGCACCTTGTGTAATGTCTGTGCAAGAATGGATGACAATCCAACACCATACCACAACGGATTCACCAAGTCGCGCAACGCGGAGGCCTTGAACGATGCATCGTCACACAGTCTAAACATGAATGTCGATAACGCATCTACGCTTGTGCGTTGGGCCTGTGCTTCATACCACTCCTTCTAAGCACCTTGTGTAATGTCTGTGCAAGAATGGATGACAATCCAACACCATACCACAACGGATTCACCAAGTCGCGCAACGTGGAGGCCTGAACGATGCATCGTCGCACAGTCTAAACATGGCTGTCGATAACGCATCTACGCTTGTGCGTTGGGCCTGCGCTTCATACCACTCCTTCTAAGCACCTTGTGTAATGTCTGCGCAAGAATGGATGACAATCCAACACCATACCACAACGGATTCACCAAGTCGCGCAACGCGGAGGCCTGAACGATGCATCGTCGCACAGTCTAAACATGGCTGTCGATAACGCATCTACGATTGTGCGTTGGGCCTACGCTTCATACCACTCCTTCTAAGCACCTTGTGTAATGTCTGCGCAAGAATGGATGACAATCCAACACCATACCACAACGGATTCACGTTTGTTATTATTGATAATCGTGTTAGAATGACGTCCTGGGTTCCCTAAACCATTGTGGCAAAGCCTAAAAGTGCGCAATACATCTTTCCTAAGTAATAATTCAAGACGGTCGTTGTGTGTGTGACGTGAGAATCACCGATTAACTTACCCCAACTCCGTACAAAACCAGTTGCAACTTAGAGTTTGATGAAATGCGTTGTTACTTTGCAACCGAAAACACTGTACTTTGCAGGGATTTGACTAATTTCGCACTGTAGGTTTCACACCAGGTTTATCCTTTGTTGTGATTGATGTGTTGGCAACCGTCATTGGCCGACGCATCTCAAACGATTCCCCCCGCAACACAGTCATCAGCCAAGAGGTACTTCAGCCATTGGGCGGCTGAGATCGAGCGGAAGGTGGGTTTATGCTAGGGTGGCTACACGTACACCGTCCAATGTAGCCTGATAGGGTTACATTTCTCTCTCTAGTCTCGCAACTCACCCCAACCACCCTCGTGCCCCACCCACCTGCTTCCATCACTCCCTGGGCCAACACTTTGACGCTGCTCGTTGCCTTGACACACGCCTCTCCTGATCGGCCTTAGCGCGAAGCATAGTGGCTACTATTTCAGACTTAGTTGAAGCGGCTGTTTTCGTAAACACATAACAGTGATAGACGGCCGATTATGCCTTCGTGGGATTCAGTAGCAAAACCCTTTCGAAACCGGCTCAACCCTTCCGCGCGATTTGCAACTTTGCTCTTCCTACGATTACCATGACACGTGCAACACGTAACCAAGCAATGGAGGAGGAACAGGCCGGCCGCCGCGCGACAAGGGGGACGTCTAAACAAATCGATAGGGAGAGTGGTGGCGGCGCTAAAAAAAACAATGCGTCCGTCGCTCGTGGCATTGGGCGGAAAAAAGCGGCGGCAAAAAAGGTCGCGCGCGGTCAACAGGAGGCCGGCAAGAAAGCGGCAGACAAGGGGCCTAAACCAACGCCACGCAAGCGTGTTTCTACAGTGAACAAAGCTGCGGATGGTGCCTCTGCTGGAACCGAGCCCGGTCCGAGTAAAGACGGCACCACTGGCGGCAAAGAAGATCCGGGGCGAGGGAGCGCGAGTCTTGCACTCCCGTCGGCGGAGATGGAGGGTTCGGCGACAGGGGGAAATCACGGAGGCGATCCTCGTGCCGAGCATGCCGCAACCAAGGAGTCCGAGGAGGCGGCAACGCAACACCATCTGACGCTGCTCCAGCCGAGCGTGGTCGAAGTTTCTGCAGCCGTGCTGGATAAGGACAAGGTGGCACAGCACGAGTCGGTGGGGCTGGTCGGTGGCTCTCCTCCTTCTGGTGGACGGGGAAGGCGTAGGCAAAGGAAGAGCGATGGGGAGGAGGATGATGACACCGCCGTGCCCGGGGACCTCACCACGCGGGCGAAGAGGCGCCAGACGACAGGTAGTGCTGACAACGCCGGAGGCGCGGAAGTTGACACACCGCGAGGCGCCAAGGAAGCTAGTGGCAAGGCGGGCGGTCAAGCATTGCGCCAGAAGGGCCGCCCCGCAGCAAGAAAAGCATCTGGCGGAAGGAGAGGCAAGAAAGCAGCGACAGGAACGAGGCCGAAACGGGGCGATGAAGACCCCGGTGATACGGAGGAGGAGGAGGATGAGGAGGAGGATGCGGAGGGAGAGGAGGATGAAGAGGAAGCGGAGGAGCAAGACGCGGATGTTGGGGAGGATGCTAAAGATGAGAATGATGGCGGGGAGGACGAAGAGGAGGAGGAGGAGGAGGAGGAGGAGGAGGAGGAGGAGGAGGAGGAGGAGGAGGAGGAGGGGGATGAGGAGGAGGAGCAGGGTGACGAGGAGGAGGAGGAGGAGGAGGAGGAGGAGGAGGAGGAGGAGGAGGAGGAGGAGGAGGAGGAGGAGGAGGCATCAGAGAAGGAGGAGGAGGAGGAGGAGGAGGAGGAGGAGGAGGAGGAGGAGGAGGAGGATGTGGCGCCAGGGAAGAGACGGGGCGGGCGTGGCGGTCGGGTGAGTGGGACAGGGAAGGAGGGGGGCCGGACTCGCCCTTCCCGAAAACGCGGGGCAGGTGACGCTGCGCGCGGCGAAGCAGCGGGCAAACCGAAGGCGCGTAAGGTGAAGGTCGAAAGTGAAGGGGTTGGTAAAAAGCAAGGGAGCCAGGGTGCAAAAGGGGATGGAGGAGGAAAGGGTGGCCGCGCCAAAGGGGTTCGAGTGGGTACCGGCAAGAAGGAACCTGCCGGTAAACGTCGCAGCGTGCGCCGAAGCACCCCGCGGAAAGGTGGCAACGAGAAGGCGCAGGCTGCCCCAAAACCGAAGGGACAACAGAAAGGTGAGCATTGTGTCCAATACAACTGGCGTGACGTGTTAAACAATCTGCTAAACCGTCCCAAATAACACCCTTTATTCACATTGTTTCTCTCCTGCAGGGAAGGAGAAGGTTGACGAATCTGCCAAGCAAGGTAAACCCTCTTGTCTCAAACCAGTACAACCCGAAACCCGATCTAGATTCAAACCTTTCTGAATATGCATGCATTTCTGGCCCCGCCTTGAAACCGATCGACTCCAATTTTTATTTTCCCACTCCCTCTACATCTCAGCCCCTCGCGTTACAGGCATTGGGCCGCCCTTAGCGTGCAACGAATGCATCTAACGAAGGCTGCCGGAATAGCGAGTGTTACACCGCTCTCGTCCGGCGCACCAAGGTTCTACACGCCATGGGCCGGCCCCAGCAAAGTCGCTGCGACGGCACCCGGCGCGCCAAGAGGAGAGGAATCCGAATCCCCTCCACCCGTCCCCGTCACGCAGTCCTCACTCGCCTCCCTCGTACCCATTTCGGCAACTCCACGCTTCTCCTGTCCGGGGCAGGGCGGTCTCCCCCATCGCCGGTCCTTCGCGCGGGCATCAGGCAGGCACTTATGCCAATCCCTTCCCTGAGCTCCCCTTTTCCCGCCAGCGTGATAGTGTGAGGGCACACGGGACTGCTGCAGAAGACGTTGATACCCTTGGCCAGAGGGGGGATTCTTCACACCCTTTTCCTCCGCTCATGGGTGCCCTAGGTGAAAGTGAGGAGCACGAGCAGTTTGTTACACGGGAGGAGTTCCAGGCGCTGCGGTCTGAGATGTACGCCATGTTTGCACAGCTCGGCCTGCGTCGTGGAGTACCTGCCAGCTATGCCGGCGGGTCGGCAGCCCTGCCTATGGCTGGTACCCCGCCGCCGATGAGCGCCGTGGACAAGGCACGAGTGCTAGTGTTGCAGGAGACAAACCCATTCCCGGTATGTGGCGGGCCAAATGGGGCGGGTTGGGGTTGACGTGGCAACAAGGTCGGGGTTGGGGCTGACGTAGCGGGTTCGAAGGGAACACGGGAGCGGCGCGTGACGAGGCGACGCGTATCAGGTGGGTGGGGGGTGACGTGGCATGGGGTGGGTGGGTGTGACGTGGCAAGTGGGGCGGGTTGTTGGTGAACGTGGCGGATGCAAGTGCGTGTGACATGGCAAAAGGTGAGGGTTGGGATATGACGTGGCGGTGTGAAAGGGTGCAAGGGAGTGCCGCATGACGGAGCGAGGCGTTTCAGGTGGGTGGGGGGTGACGTGGCTCTTGGTGGGGGGTGTGACGTGGCTCTTGGTGGGGGGTGTGACGTGGCAAGTAGGGCGGGTTGTTGGCAGATGCAAAAGGGTGTGGCGTGGCAGAATGGGAGGGTTGGGGCTGTCGTGGTGGTTTGGAATGGTACACAGGAGCCGCGCGTAACGAGGCGACGCGTGAGAGGTGGGTGGGGGGTGACGTGGCATGGGGTGGGAGGGTGTGACGTGGCACGTGGGGCTGGTTGTTGGTGGACGTGGCGGATGCAGGAGGGTGTGACGTGGCACGTGGGGCTGGTTGTTGGTGGACGTGGCGGATGCAGGAGGGTGTGACGTGGCGGAAGGTGAGGGTTGGGGAAGACGTGGCGGATGCAGGTGGGTGTGACGTGGGGGAAGGTGAGGGTTGGGGATGACGTGGCACCCTACAAGGGTACACGTGAGCGGCGCATGACAAAGCGAGGCGTTTCAGGTGGGTGGGGGGTGACGTCGCTCTTGGTGGGGGTGTGACGTGGCAAGTAGGGCGGGTTGTTGGCGGATGCAAAAGGGTGTGGCGTGGCGGCATGTGAGGGTTGGGCCTGACGTGGCGGTTTGGAATGGTACACAGGAGCGGCCACTGACGAGGCGACGCGTGTCAGGTGGGTGGGGGGGTGACGTGGCATGGGATGGGAGGGTGTGACGTGGCACGTGGGGCTGGTTGTTGGTAGACGTGGCGGATGCAGGAGGGTGTGACGTGGCACGTGGGGCTGGTTGGTGGACGTGGCGGATGCAGGAGGGTGTGACGTGGCGGAAGGTGAGGGTTGGGGATGACGTGGCGGATGCAGGTGGGTGTGACGTGGGGGAAGGTGAGGGTTGGGGATGACGTGGCACCCTACAAGGGTACACGTGAGCGGCGCATGACGAAGCGAGGCGTTTCAGGTGGGTGGGGGGTGACGTCGCTCTTGGTGGGGGTGTGACGTGGCAAGTAGGGCGGGTTGTTGGCGGATGCAAAAGGGTGTGACGTGGCAGCATGTGAGGGTTGGGGCTGACGTGGCGGTTTGGAATGGTACACAGGAGCGGCCACTGACGAGGCGACGCGTGTCAGGTGGGTGGGGGGGTGACGTGGCATGGGATGGGAGGGTGTGACGTGGCACGTGGGGCTGGTTGTTGGTGGACGTGGCGGATGCAGGAGGGTGTGATGTGGCACGTGGGGCTGGTTGGTGGACGTGGCGGATGCAGGAGGGTCTGAAGTGGCGGAAGGTGAGGGTTGGGGATGACGTGGCGGATGCAGGTGGGTGTGACGTGGCAGCATGTGAGGGTTGGGGATGACGTGGCGATTAGAAAAGGTACACGTGACAACTGCGCATGACAAAGCGAGGCGTGTCAGGTGGGTGGGGGGTGACGTGGCTTGTGGTAGGGAGGTGTGACGTGGCAGAATGGGCCGGGTTGTTGGTGGACGTGTCGGATGGCGCAGGGTGTGACGTGGCAAGTTCACACAGTGTTGCTAGTCACAATCCCATGGTCACGCGGCCACCCACATAACTGCTGGTTTCTCTCTCTCATGTCGTGTTGTATACCTTACACCACTGCGCAGAACAAAGCCTACTTAGTGTGCTCTCAGCTCATGATTTCTGAACCCCCCGGAGAAAATACAGTACTACCCTGCACCGGAGGAAGTGTTCGAAGCGTTCTCTGTCCACTTGTCTGCAGAAGGGCTCGAGGCAATGAAGCTGCTGTGGTTGCACAATGACAAGTCAACCATGGGAGTCTTCAACCACCAGCTGTCCTCAACAAGGTCAACTATCAACTCCACCCTCAGGCCAGCAACATACACCGGCATGGGCCTTGCTGATTACAGCCATCTCGTGGATAGCCTGCCCACTGAGCTACACCCAACGACCTGGTTCGATGACGTTCAACTCCTAGCCGAGTACAGAGATGGTATGTGCAACTCGAAAACACAATATGCCCTACCATATGCCAGTTGGCAGCTACATATCACCGTGCGATGTGGCTCACCCTGACACTCATCCCCCCACTTGATTTCTCTACAAAACCCTTTCCAACCCATACCCTCCCTGCCAAAAAACATAACAGTGGGCCCTCAACTGGCACTTTGACAAGGCCACCGGGACGCTCTTCAGCAACCCCTTGTTCGCTTATGCGTTCAAGATCTCCTTCAAGAGGGGCGGGGCGGTGTTCACCAAGTTCAAGAGCCGCATGGTGGCATGGGGCCTGTTTTCGGTAAGGATGTAGATATGTGTTTTTACCCCCATGCCTCATCCCCTTAACCCCTTGCCTATACTACAACCCTAATCCCTGGTCGATTAGGCCTTTGCAGTTACGTAGATAGTGACGACTGCATCACCGCTTTCAGTTGCCTCATTTACCCGTAACCTACCCTCCTCATAAACCACCCACCCAACCCTACTACACCACATTGCAGATCGAATGGCCCCTTCTGCAGGATAAGCGTCGCAAGCGAATCAGTAGCCAGCCAGAGCAGAACAGGCCAGACTACCAGGAGTGGTGCGAAAAGGTCAAACAGATGATCCATTTTGCTGTCGTGGAGCGGAGGATCCCCCACGATCCGGCTATGGGTGCGTTCGTCTTTCCGAACAAGTTCCTCATCGACGACGGCGACCTTGGAGATGTCGTCCTTGCCCACCGGGCGCTTTCAAGGCCCGCCAATGCGTAGGCTATTTGACCTGGTGCTAAGACTGATTGTTGCTAGCATGCTGAATAATGGTTCTTGTAAACCGCAATAATAAATGCAATTTTGAATTCCCCAAAATCCAAAATGAACAAAAACAGAATTTAGTATTGAATAAATTGGTCACGAATTTGCGACAAAACGGATTGCGTCGGAATGTCATCCGGAAAAGCTCGCGTGCCAAATTGGAACTTGAACCGAGCCAAGCCTTGTCGCGAGATGTGTCTCCGAGCTCCTATCAAATGACTCCAACCGTCGGTCCGAATTGGCTACGGATTTTTTTACGCGAAGACAATCGAAATCAAAATTCGACCAAACTTGGCATAGGGTTTTTGTGATGCCCTGACGCGCAAGGGTGGCAGCTCTACCACCCCACTGCCTGCTCCGTCTCCCTACACTGGTCCTACTGGAGGTCTTGCTTTGCGTCGTGAGCCTGCGTCTCGCCCTGCGTCACCTGTCCGTGCTGCTTGCACTAGTGGTCGCGGTTCGCGTCAGCGTCCTCCTCCTGTCCCTGGCACGAACCAGATGTCTCTGCGTCCATCCACTGCTCCTCTGCGTGCCCCTTTACCTTCTCCTCCTGAGTATTCTCTTCCTGCTCTTGCTGACCCGGAGTCGGACTCTCTTCATGCCGCCAGTCCTACAGTCACGCGTCTCCTTGCTACTGTTGTCACTGACCCTTCCTTTGAGTCCACTGCTGCGTCTGCCCTAGTTGCTGAGCTCGTCGACTTTGCTGCTCGCTGTCGCCTAGACTACGCCGCCAGTCTTGTTGCTGAGTCTGAGTCTATCTGTCCTCCGTCCGTCGGGGGTGAGTGTGCCCTTGGCACGGACGTCCTTGGGGACATGCACGAGGAGTTCCAGTGTCTGGCTGCTGCTTCACCTCATCTCGTGTCCGTACTGCTTACCCCTGAGGGAGACCCGGATGCACTTGACATCCCGACTCCGCGCTCTTACGCGAAGGCGATAGAGGGTCCCTACTCTTCTCAGTGGCAGGCAGCTATGGACGCAGAGATGGCTTCCTGGAAGTCCACAAGCACCTACGTTGACGAGGTTCCCCCGCCTGGGGCGAACATCGTCAGTGGCATGTGGATTTTCAGGGTGAAGTAGCCTCCGGGTTCTCCGCCTGTCTTCAAGGCACGTTACGTGGCTCGTGGCTTCAGTCAGCGGCACGGAGTTGAATACTTTCATACCTTCTCTCCCACCCCGAAGATGACCACTCTTCGGGTACTGCTGCACATAGCTGCTCACCGTGACTACGAGCTTCACTCTCTTGACTTCAGCACAGCTTTCCTTCAAGGCAACCTGCACGAGGAGATCTGGCTGCGCCGCCCACCTGGCTTCACTGGGTCTTTTCCTCGTGGCACCCAGTGGAGCCTCCAGCGGCCAGTCCACGGTCTCCGCCAGGCACCGCGTGAGTGGCACGACACACTGAGGACTACACTTGCGGCTCTTGGGTTTGCTCCCTCTACTGCCGACCCGTCGCTGTTTCTGCGCACCGACACTTCTTTGTCGCCGTTCTACATCCTCGTGTACGTTGACGACTTGGTCTTTGCCACAGCTGACACTGGTGGACTCGCCCACGTGAAGTCCGAGCTGCAGAAGAGACACACTTGCACTGACCTGGGTGAACTGCGCAGCTACCTTGGCTTGTAGATCACCCGGGACAGAGCACGCCGCACCATTACCCTGACTCAGTCACACATGGTGCAGCAGGTCCTTAGCGCTTCGGTTTCACGTACTCCTCGCCTCAGGCCACTCCTCAGCCTACTCGCCACTCGCTCCCAGCTCTGCCTTCGGATGAGTCCGTAGAGTCGAGTGGCCCGTACCCAGAGCTTGTTGGCTGCCTCATGTACCTGATGACCTGCACTCGACCTGACCTTGCATACCCTCTTAGCATTCTCGCACGCTATGTTGCTCCTGGGAGACACAGACCGGAGCACATGGCTGCAGCGAAGAGGGTGTTGCGCTATTTGTGTAGTACGTCAGGCATGGGGCTTGTGCTTGGAGGGCAGAGTCCAGTGGTCCTCACTGGGCACGCAGACGCTTC